TTCTGAAGAATTGGCTGAAGCACTGGGACCAGCAGTTGAGCAGTGAATTAAGAACTATAAAGTCTAAAGTAAAACATTGGAAATGTGCCCTAAACCTGAAAGAGCATGTCCTTCTAACACAGTTAAGAATCGGTCACGAGAAGCTGACAAATAACTGTCTTTTGATAAAAGAACATAAACCAATATATGCTCTTGGTGATATTTTAACTATTAAGCAAATTTGAATTGATTTTCTTACTTCTAATTGCTTTAGGGCTTTATATTTTTATGAATGTCAGATTTCTCTTAGAGATTTACTTGGAGTAGAGCTCTGTTGTAACATTTTCAACTTTTTAGAAGCTCTAAAGCTTTATCACTTTCTCTGAATGCCTGCTTCAAAAATGTAACTGGATACTAATTATGTTGATGTTATCAAAATGCATAACAACCTGGTTGAAGATAAATCTTTATCAATTTTTTCTCATCCATATGGTGTTTTTATCAGTATATGATTTTTTGTATACGAGTTTTCTGTGGTTTCATTTTATTGCAGTTTACAATAATTTTATATATAAATTCTACTTGTGAATATGTACTAACTTGGTACATCTGTCTTTGCCTTTTATCATTTTAAACTTTGAAAATGCACGATATGTGTATGGTGCAGTATAACCTTTTTGGTTTTGTGCTAAAAAAAACCAATTAACCAACCAATTGGTCTGAAAATAGATCAACTATAAATAATTGTTGCTTTAATGAACATTCATGCTTTCAGGAGATGAATATTAAAAGATGTTGACATCTGATTTATCATTGGTTTTTTCATGCTGTTTTATTTTTTATATTGAAGATTATAAAATATGAATATTTTTTCTCCTTTGGACTTACGCTTGGACAAATATGAGAAGCATACTAAAATGTATGCCTGCAGATATAAACACACTTGATGATGCCACATATAGTAGATCCAACAGTTGTGAAACCACTGCAAAAACTCATTATGTTGTTCATGTACTTCATGCTCCCCTTTTTTTTCCCTCTAACACCAAGTATGTGATACTATTAAAATTAGAATAAATTAATTCCCTTAAATTGTTTGCATTTACTTTTCCATAAAATCTCTCTCACACATATACATCAAAAAAGAAAAAAAGGTCACATTTCTTTTGTTGCGTGTCTCTAAAGATTAATTTATATAACTTTAGCAGTGCTTGCTTGGGCTGTTATTGATACAAGCCTTTCAAAAATAAGATACACATTGTGAATTCCACTAAAAGTTAAATGTTTATTAAGAATGCAGTAGCATTACTCATTAGATCAGATTGTTTCTGTTTTTATAGTGATTACTAGGGTTACTGTATTTTTTAAAAAGAAAATGCTAAAAAATTGCCCACATGCCTTAAAGAAAAGTCTAGCAAATGTTTATTCATTATTAAAATTGGTTAAATGCATAATTATCCAACTTAATAAATATTAATTATTATATTGCACATATTTTTCAGGCATAAACTTTGCTAAAGAAAATTGTATTACTTTTTAGGAGGTCATGGATCATGTAATTCGTCAATAATGGTATACTTCAAAGCCTTTTTTGGCATGGGAAGGGGACAAAAAATAACATGGTTTCTTTAAACATTTTAGAGGTATTATAAATAAATAATATTAATAAACAGTGTTTCAAAAACATCTTCAATTAATTTGATCAAGAAATGTGAAAAGGAATAATAATTCAGCCCTTTCCATATGAAAAGAGTCCTTTGCAGAATAAAAATTTATAGAGCCTTGTCTAAGTAAACTTTTTTTTTTTTTTTTTTAACTTGACCATCTACAGATATGCAATCTACTTTTTCTATACTTACTTTAAAAAGGAATAAGTATGTAATTTTTAATTATAGTTATTGCAATATAACATAAACGAGAAAAGGCAATTGCTCATCGCAACTTCATGCATAGCTGTGAATAATATGAACATATAATTCAAGTCCTAAATCATTTTTTTTAATTAATTAATTTTTCTAATGTTTGTGCTGTCAATTTTGAATGAATGCTAGTTTTAACCTGCTGTGCACATTATAATGCAGTACTATTTTCTGTACCCAAATAATATTTTTGAAATATGTTTGTTTAAAATAATCATATACTGTCAATACTTCAAATAGATAATGTAACAAATAATCTTATTAAAATGAAACAAATTTCATATTTGAAATATTAGAGGCATCCACAAATATAATAACAAAATTTTCATTGCAGTTGTGTTCTGAAATCCACGGGTTCAGTATCTGCAATTTAAAGAGAATTGAGGAGTTAAATGCAAACTCATTAATTGCAATTATGAATACCTGCATTTATGTAATCAAATGAAAAAATGCAAATGATCAGTGCAGTGGTTTATGTGTATTCATGGATTAAAAAAAAAGAGACCCTTTGGCATGCACTTTCCTAAATTTATACCTTATGAGCCAAAACATTATGACCATACCCACATTTGTTAGTGAACTTGTCTGGATAATATGGAATGCACATGATTAAGTGGAAATGCTATTTAACTGCTGGAGGAGGTAAGGAATCATTCTTGCATTTACTTCTGCGAGTGATGGGAAAAGCTGCTGATCTAAGCAAATTTGATGAGGGTAGATTGTAATGGCCCGAAGACTTGGAACGAGTATCTCCGAAACTGCATGACTGGTGGTTTGTTCACGATCTGCCATTGTTAGTATTTATGCAAAGTGGATAAATGACAGTGAAGTCAGCAGTAGACACCAAGGTGTTGGACATCCACGTGTAATCAAAGAAATAGGACGTCTGAGATTGTTCTGCCTGGTACAGCAAAATCGACACCAGACAATGGCTCAGCTGACAGCCCAATACAGTGCAGGTCCACGTGCAAGTGTTTCAGAACACATAGTTCAGCGGACAGACACTGTTGGATATGGGAATACACAGCAGCCGTACCACACATGTGCCTCTGTTGACCAAGTGTCATGGTCAACTACGAGTATAGTGGGCCCGGGAACATCGAGACTGGACCATGGATAAGTGGAGGACATTTACCTGGTAGGAATAATCACGATTTCTGATTCGTCACATCAGTGATGGTGTCAGAGTATGCCGTCTTGCAAGCAAACAGTTGCCCCCGTACCGCGGATCATACACAGGCTGGTGGTGGCAATATTATGCTTTGTGGGACGTTTTCATGGGAGGCTGTGGGACCCTTAGTTGTGAAGACCATGAAAGCTAGTGACTATTTGAATAAAATTGCACTCTTACATGATATCTGTCTTCTCAATAGGAAATAGAATCTTCGAGCAGGACAATGTCCCATGTCGTGAGGCTCAAATTCTGTCGGAATGGTTCGTGGAGCATAAGGATGAATTCCAATTAATGTCTTGGGCGACCTAACTAACTGGATTTTAACCCAATAGAGCACATTTGGGGTGTCATGAAGCGGCAGCTCAGAGCTCAAATACCACCATGTCAGAATATCTCGACTTTGCATGATCGCTGCTTAAACATTTGGTACAACCTGTGTCCAATCATCTACCAAGAACTTGCAGCATCTATGCCTAGGTGAATTGCAGCTGTTCTGTAGGTCAGAATTCGTGCAACATGCTATTGAGTAGGTGATCATGTGTTTTGGCTCTTCAGTATATAACCCTACTGAAAGATCATAAATCTCAAAAATGCAATGTATGGCCAACATAAGCGTGAGGTGTTTGAAGCTGAAATAAAGCAACATAGTCAGAATAGTTTTTATATTTTTACAGATCTCAAAATGCTACATCCAGATAGTATAATTTTTGTTCATAAATTTTATCTATTTTTCATGTGCATTGAAAATATTTCTGATAAGGAAACTAATGGGTGAGCATTTAAAAGGCCTAAATCCATGTTTCATGCAATTAGTTCCAACTTATTGGAATGCAATGTATTTATAGTCTTTCATATTCTCTTAAAATCGCTTGCCAAGCTAATGAAGAATGACTTTGATCAGCTTGATTTCTTTTTGTTTTTTATTATTTGCTTTCTTTCCTTTTATTCAATTTTTGAATATATTTTGATTTCTTATTATTAATTTATAATTTTTATTATTTTGTGTAACTAAAATGTTCCTTATTTTATATGAAAAACAATTAAGTAATAAATATAAATTATGGATATAATATGTCTGATTTAATTGAAATGGTATCATTGTTATTTGCAAAGGTTTGCAGTGAAACTATCCTAATATGATCATTTTTGGTTTCCCATGATTTTTGGTCCTTTGTAGAGGTGCTTGTTCTAGAGATGATATTCAGTATCAGTGTTTGTATGCTTTTTAAATAGTCATCACTTTTAGAGGTGATCTTCTGTAAGAGAAAAGTTTTACTGTATTTCGTAGAATCAAAAAACTTGAATATGAACAAAAAATAAGCATAATCTTCTTGAAAACCAGTCATTTTTTGTATCCTAATTTTAAATTTGTTTTCATTTACAAAGTATTCCAATTCCTCCCCCCACCCATATTCTAAAATTTTGTTTGAATTCTCAATTCTAATAACACAAGTTTTAAATAAATAATGGGAAAACTTATTGTTTTGTAGAACGTTAGTTTCCACACCATAGAATACTTTAACAACTAAGTCCCAGGTTTGAGACTGTATGACAGAACAATCTCCATACAAGAGAACTTTTGTTGGTGTTTTTAAATGTAACATAATTGAAGTTAGTATTTATGAAACTGTTACCCTCAAGGACAGTCTTCTGATCTAAAGATACCTCTGTCAGTTGATAGTTATCTTCAGTTTGGATTAATGGTTTGCGATAATTAACAAATCATTTGATTTACTTATTTCTAAAAAATTTTTAATAACTTGAACTTCACATATAGTATGCTATTATTTATATACGACTATCTATTGCTTTCTTTGTTTTTGCAGTTAGCCTACAACTGCATCATTTTTATGAGGTTTCAATTAATTTCTTTTTAAGTTACTAGAGTTATATTTTGAATAGTAATTTTTTTTTAATGTTTCTTACAGGTAGATGATGAAGAAGCGGGTATAATATTGGAAATTCCCGGCGATCCATTATGTCCTGTAAAGACCCTTAAGTTTTATTTGAGTCGCTTAAACCCAGCCTGCAGAGCCTTATTTCAGCGGCCTAAAGAACATATTTATGAACAAGACACATGCTGGTATGTCAATTCTCCTGTAGGGAAGAACATGTTAGCTACAATGATGTCCACCATCTCGAAATGTGCAAGGTTAAGCCGCATTTATACAAATGTACGCATCCGAGCCACAACATACTCCCCAGCAGATGGTAAAGGTTGCATTCCTTGTACAGATGTTACAGATCAGCCAAAAGAAACAGATGGACGAGAAGTCAGAGCTGTTGAGAAGAAACCGGAGGTAACTTCAAAGCCTGTCCAAGCCACTCAAAACTCTCATATTATTAAGCAATTAAATGCTCCAATCGTCCAGGCTTGTTTATCAGTTGCTGTGTCCAAATCCTTAAGTACTGTTTCTAATGTAGTTTCACCTATTATCAATAGAGTTTTCCCAATTGCTCTGACAAGTGCACAGAGGAATGAGTTACTTAATGGGCAGAGTTTTAAAAGTACCAAGCAGAATGAAGAGGTAAATTTATCGCTAATTTCAAATTCTTTTTTATTTGTGCTGTGTTATAATGTTTAAAATGATATCTTTTAAAGCTTTGTGAGTTTTTTTAATTTTGTAAGTATAAGTTTAAAAATATATATTTTAATAAATGTGTATACAAAGTAAATCTTTAAAAATATAGTAAATCCTGTCAAAGACACCCATCAATGGTTATACATGATTCTAGTCTTCTGTGGATATGATTTTCTTAGGTAAGTGATGTTTAGAATCAGTGTTTATTTATGTTCTTAGAAATAACAGCCACTTTTAAAAATGGTGGTTGTTAGAAGATTTATTGTATGTATTTTATATACACATATAGGAAAATTAATTGTAAAATTCTAAATTAACAAATCTCAAATTTCAATTTTATGCATAATGCATTTTTCCAACTGTCACTTATTCTTTATTTTATTATTTGTATTTTGAAATAATAAACTTAACTAACAAAAGAGCAATATGTGTAAAAGCTGTTCGGATGCAATCCGATGACATGAAACAGAAATAATGAAAAACAATAAAAAATTGCACATATATCTTAACTGTGCCACATACATCCAGATACTGAATCAAAGTGTGGCAATATCTTCTGTATTCAGTCATGAATGCTATTGGGTAACAAACTGAATGCTGTCTGCTAGTTCTTTATTGCTCTCGAATTGCTGCAACCCTAGCTACATATTAACAATTGTCATTTGGTGAGTGATCAAACACTTCTATCAAAATGACTGGTTGTGTGCATGCAATTGTTTGTGAATGCATTGTCATGGATCTTAATATGTATGGTCAACAATCCTTGTTTCTTGTTCAAAATTGCTTGGTGAATAGTTTTGATGTATGTGTACATTAATATTCAATTATATTCATACATTAATTCATCATAAAATCTGTCAGAAATATCTCTTTTTCATCTGTAGTCATAAATTTTTGTGAAGTAATGTTGATTTTACCTTCTTGTTTGTATCTGATGAGTTTTTATATCTAGTCTTCCCCCCTCTTTTCGCATCCAGTTTTTTGGCCTGTATCTGAAGTACATTTCAAGATCATAAATTCTTGTTAGACTGTAATCATAAATTCTTGTTAGGCAATGTTGATTTCACCTTCTTGTTTGTATCTGATGAGTTTTTATATGTATTCTTCCCCCTTTTTTTCATATCCAGTTTTCTGGCCTCTATCTGAAGTACATTTCAAGATCATTTGTACTAACTTTTATTAATTTTTCCTAATTTTAATGAAAATTGCTGTAGTTTTATTATTTTGTGCACATATGTTCTTTTAGGAATTTTATGTTATTTTTGTAATGATGCCAGAAATTATTCTATTATGCTAATTTATCAGCAGATTTATGAAGTTTTTAACCACTTATACAGATTCAGCTGAAATGTCTTTTAAGTCTCTGTTTATGACATAATATGAGCTTCTGTGATGTAATTGAATTTTGTACAATTGTCTAGTTGAAAAACAAGTATACTTAACTTTCATTTAACTTCTCCATTTAACATAGACCCATTCAGTATTTGATGCATGGCACTGAATTAAAACACTTCAACAAAATGTTCTGAATATTGGAGAATTTTTTGTGCTTTGAACATACAACTTCTTGAAGTTCCTGTTTCTTCTATTCTTTTGTGAAGAACCATTTCTTAAAATTTCAATTTTATTTTTCAATGAGAGTTCTTTTCATTTTTCAGATATCTGAGGCATGAGTTGGATTTAAACAAAAGCACAAATTACAAGTAGCAATTGAGTAAATTGATTTACTAAATGATACTTGAATGAAGCAGCTCTGTTAAGCAGACCTATTTTGTAAGGGAATTCTCTCTTCCACCCACCAAATGTATTTTAACTCTACCAATTTCAGGTATCATATGTCTTTACACATCCCCGTATCTCTATATATAACTTCTAAACACTATCAAAAGTGAAAAATCACTTACAAGAAAATTATCTGAGCTGCAAAAATAAATGTCGGTAAATAAGTTGCAAAAAATTATGTATGATCGAAGTTGTTTTCCATATCAACGAAGTGGCTTATGATTAACATGAATATAAATTAATTGGAATAGAAATGAAACTGCATTTGAAGGATCTGTTTATAAACTGCAATTTATTGTACAGTTTTTATTTCAAAGAAGTCATGTTACAGTGTGGAATAATTTCTGGCTCGATACTTAAGAAAGAGAGCAGAGTTGGAATGAGAATGGGTTTTTCAATAGATATTCTAACCATATATGTTTACAGTTTCTTAAAAACATATTTTTCTGCTCTACCTATTCTTTTAAATTTTGTGTAGCGATGAAAAAGTGTTATGGTATACAGTCAAAAGTCTTTAATCCGGACTCGTCGGGACTTCGGCGATTCCGTATTATCGGTTTTTCCAGATTATAGATCATCAGTTTAAATCTGGTAAGATGGCATGCAAAAATTATAAAATTAAAAATATGAAACCGTAATTTATGAAATAAAGAGCAATTATGATCAAAATTTACAAAAAAAAAGCTTAATATTTATTTGTTTTCTTTATTAAACATTTCTTTCAATGCGCGCATGCGTGAAGTATACATTACGCATAGTCAAAATTAGAAAATTGCAGCCAGAAAACTATTTGATGTTATTCGTGATATTTATAATGACGAGGAATTTGATTTAATCATATCAAAAGAGGAATACATCGAGATGAAATACTACATTTAGTAAGGAATATAAGTTGAATAAAATAAAAACATCTGCCCTGAAGATAAGCCTGACAGATCAACTTCCAGTATATTGCGCGCCGCAACGTTCCCCCCTCCGCAGAGCAGCGTGAAATTGATAAACATATTTCGGAATGGTTAGAGAAACAAAGGATAAGCCTTTATCAAAACATGCTTTCGCTTTGTAGATCCTTTGGCAGCTCCAGAATCGGAAATTCTTTTTGATATAATCAAAAGTTCAAGCTTACTTTTATCAGATCGCTCTAACAGTCTGCAAAATATGATAAGCTGGATTCAATGAGAAGATTAAGGAACAACCCAATCTGCAACATTAACTGAAATAGATAATTAGATCATTTTAGCTTAGCTTATACCATCCGTTATACATTACACGCGCATGCATAAACACATTATGCATTTACACATGCGCAGAAAGTTTGTAGCTTTGAGGTCAGAATTATAGATCATTCCGGATTATGGACGTCCGGATTAAAGACTTTTGACTGTATTTTAAAATTAATAAAATTTTTTTAATGGTAAATGTGTGTATCTAGATTGTATCCAAGTTTTTCATGTAAATGCTCATTTAAAAATTTTGCCTCAGGTCAAAGAATCATGGGTGTTGAATAAAAATGTAACAGAAAAATTATAATAAATGTGTTATGAATTAGGCAGTACAAACTTATGTATGGCTACTAAAGTAATATAATTGTGTATCACAACCAGTAACTTATTGTTGTTGCGAGCTTTAGTGTTAGTCTAAAATGAGACGTGGCATTACTTTTCTACCTTGTAGTGGCATGCAGAATTCTCATAAAATACTCATCTGCCACTAAAGGATTTTAAATTTTATTTTTATGGTTTTCTTAGAAAGGTCTTCTTAAGTCTTGCATAGAAAAAATGCTTCTTTGTATGAGTGAAATAGTGAGATAAATTGGTCATATTTTGAGACATTTGTGTATGAATTTGAAGAGTTCCCCCCCCCTTTGTAAATTAAAAAATCTATAAAAGGTTTGCATAGGATCATTTAGGATCATGACTTGTTCTGTCTGCATTGTATCAAGAACACCAGTAAAATTGGTTCAAGGTGAAGCTCTGAATTTTGAAAATATTTTTATGGGTTCTGTATGGTGTCTCTCTTCATGAGTCATAAATTCAAAGATCGTTTCGTTTCAGGAGTCAAGGTTGGGAGAGCATTAGAATTTCAAAGCAAAACTTCAAGATTTCTTAGAACATAGAAATAACATTTATTAACGATAACTTATATTACTTCCGCCATAGCGGCCATGAAACATAATCAAGCATCAAATAAATAGACATGCGTCATTGTTCATGTTCAAGCGTCAAGTGATATATTTTTCATCGGCGCGCATCAAGAGCGCCACCTATCTACCAAAAAGACGGAACATACTCCGCCCCGATGAACATGGTTCATTACAACATTATTATAAGATCTTCAATTTTAGATTCAAACAAGTTTTCAAAGTTCAACAGTATATCAAAATAAAAATGCATAATGACAAATTTAAATTGAATAACAACATTAAATTAGCACAAATTTACAATAAAACATACTTACAATCTCTAGAAGGAAAACAAATATGAAACTGCTAAATTACCATAATCCACATTGTGGTCCATTCTCTGAATCTGAACATAATTGAATTAATAATAATAAAGACACAAATTATGAATACAATTAAGTTTTTTTTTTTTTTTTTTTTTTTTTTTTTTTTTTAGAGTCTTATTCACTCAATGGTAAGCGGGAAAGTTTATGTATAGGACGCTTCATTTTGCCCAATAAAGTTTTTAGTTTTCACAACACGACTTTTCCATCAGCACAGGATATAGTTCAATACTCGTCCAAGTCGCCACTTTAATGGAGGCAAATTTTCGTCCTTTATCAAGATAAGTCATTGGGGCTAAATTTGGTTTATCCCTCAACCATTTGGTACGCCCTTGTAATTGTCAAAGATAATCTCTAGACCAACGTTTCCAAAAGCTCTGGAAAATTAGCTGTGTCAATTTCCATCTTTCAGCAGGGGTTAGATTATTACTTGTAAGATCAGGTTCAGGAATTGCTTTAATGTAGTCCAATTAGGAATGTCCAGGTGTTAAAGGATTAAAATCTCGGGTCAGATAAGATGGAAAACTATCTGGCTGGAATTCAAACAGCCTCGATTGTGGAATAAGTGCTGAAATTCTTCGTATGTCAGAAACCTGGGTACAATAGTCCGCTTTACGTGAATTCTTCAGTTGTTTCACTCCAGCCTCCAAAGGCCGCAAAAGTGAGGGGCAGCAGGGGGGGAGAGGATGAAGACC